TATTCTATTCTATTCTATTCTATTCTATTCTATTCTATTCTATTCTATTCTACTCAAATATCACTTTCAGGTACTTTATACAACACTGATTGATCCTAACCAACTGCTTGTTCAAGCCGGGCCAAGACCAGAGTGTATTTCTTCAGTCTTACCTCTAATCTCAAAAGTACATTTTTCATTACACTGGTATTCAAATAAAACTGGTTGTTTGTCAGCTCTAGTAGTCGCAGCAGCAATGTTGCACTTTTTCTGCAGCCTGCGACACTTTCAGCAGGAATATCTCTAATATCTAATATCAGAATATCTTTGTTAGTTGAAAGTGATAAAGCTGTAATGTTTTCAATAATAACGGTGTCACTGCAGTACAAATGGACTTACTTCTCGGACCTCTTCAAAATGCCTAAACTACCTTTTTAAGTTGGTTTTGATTATGTTGCTTTATGCTAATCTTTTTTTCTCTTTTATTCGTCAGGGAGACTCGTCTTCCTCTAAACATGGCACAACATTCATTAAAGGAGATTCTGCTGGTGTTAAAGATTCCTCGTGGATTTCTGGGACAGTAGAGGGTCTCTGTGAGCTCAGAGAGCACATGAATTACCATCTGCAGCCTCACAGTCCTCTACGTTGATGAAATCTGGTTTGAGAACCGAAGAGCTGGACTCTCTAGGGCGTAGTCTTTAAAATCGGCCCGGACGGATGTTGGCAATGATAGCAGTACCAAGGAGAGGATAAAGTTTAGACTGTTCTAGCAAGCATTTACCACACAGACACGCTGACTGGCAGAGAAAGCAGTGCAACAGGTTGGTAGACTGAGAAATTCTTTGGAGGTCACCATGCCAGACGAGTCACAGAGTTTTCAGGACCKGTTCAGGACTGAGGAAGAAGCTCCGCAGGTGTCTTTAGTTCCCAACATTGTTGTCATCTCCAGCAACGAGAAGGGCAAAAGTGACTTATTGGAGCTTGATGACCTCAAGCGACCCGCACACAGCAGCAACACGAGGGGTTTGAAACGAAAGGACAGGAGCGCGAGTCTTCCTGGTGAGAGCCAGTCTGGACTTGGTGCATCCCAGGTTTCAGTACAGGTKGGGGAGGTGAAAACAGCACACGTCCCCAAACCCCTAAAAACTGTGTTTTTTATGAAGGGGGGACAAATGACCCCACAGAGAACTGATACCGAGGCTCCAGTTACCTCGTCCAATAATAAGCTACAACATGACAGCACTGATTCAGGCTACAGCAGCACAATGTCCATTTCTGGACAGTGCAACCAAGAGACACTGGAGCTTAATGGAAAATCCTTCGCGAAGRCCAGCTCGATCTCTAATGGCAACCTTTATGACAAACCGAATGACATCTCCRAAGACAGCCTGGATAACGGCAGGTCGGCCTCTTTCAAAGCTGACCAAACCAGGGACAGAGCGGGGAGCAAAAACAACGACGACGATGACGGGCACAGCATGCGGTCCAGGCGGAGCGTGAAGGAGGGGATGTGTTGCTGTTATCAGACCACCAGCAGGGCCTTTCTGCAATGCGTGGAGGAGACCCCCGCCATGCTGTCAGGACTGCTGCTGTCTTTGATCTTCTGCGTGGTCATCATTGTTCTCATTCCTGCCACAGGACGGGTGAGAGACATTTTTTTTGGTTTAGACATTAGAACAGTGGTGTCGAAAGTCGGTCCTCAAGCTGTGTTGAACCACGGCAGCACCTAAAACATGCAGGACACCGGCCTTGAGGATCGACTTTGGACACCACTGTGTTAGAGATCTACACACATATAAACTTTGAAACTTTCTGCTGATATTTGTCCTGATTGTTTGTTAAAATAGTAAGAGAAGTCCACAAAGCTACTAATTAAGTACATCTAGGACAGTTTGGTGTGTACTGCAGTATGAGAGTCCAGGWGTGGTACGACAGTAAGAAAAAACTAATTTCAACAGCTAGTTTGTGGGGTTTTTTTATACATACAATGACTTACCCAAAGCAAAGACAGCAAACTAAACCAGCCTTATTCATCCAGAAGCTCTAAGCTAGCAGAAAATGAAAGTTGTATTTTATTTGTTTTTTACCTATCTAAATTGTAAAGAGTAACTGGCCATTAAAAAGTTTCCTTTAAAAGAGGAAAATTCAGAAAATAAAACATCTTCTCATCTGATGCTAAAAGCATTTTATTGAACAAATGTTTTGAATTTTGCAAGATGCATTTCAAATGTTAGCATCTCGTAGCACACAAAAAATAAATCTAATGTGAATTATTTTTTGCCTTACAGAGGTTCAAAGTGAGCTATTCCTACATTCCAATGCAATAAAACTTAAGCTAACGCTAACGCCTCACAAAACATGGTGAACTAAGAATATTTGTTTATGTAGTCATTTAAGACTAGCCTAAAGCAGCCCCTTGTTCTCAGCTTCGCTTCGTACAGAGGGTCTGGACTCTCGGCTATTGAGAAGTGATTTCTTCCTGGGGGCGTGGCCTCTGTTGAAGTTTAAAACGATTGCATCTGATTTACCCATTCGCTAACGGTTGGCTGCAACGTATGTATGCCTTTGTGAAACAGATTTATTTTAATTTGGAAGACTTATCAACATGACTGGCTTCATTCACTTCATCCACTGCCGTATGCTAAACTACAACCAGACACTGCGCAGAAAATCGACGTTGTTCAAAACCCCGCCTTCTGTTCTCTGATTGGCCCAACTGAAAGGCTCCCAGAGAAATCCTTGTCTATGGGAGAAATCCCAGACAGAGCAGTGAAGGGAAACTAGAGCAGAACTGCATAGGAAGGCAAGGGCCAGACTAGTTCAAGACAAAAAAAAAAGATTAAATTAATCAGGGATTGATCATCTCTCTGGTGATTTATTATTATTTTTTAAATATGCACAACACACTACAATCTGTGGTGATTGATGATAACTATTATAAATACTTAATTCCCATGGCATCATCACAGAGAGAATCAACTAGAGCACGTGGATGGAACAAAGTTTTACAGCCAACTTTTGTGAGGCCAATAAAAAAAAAAAAACACAACAAGAAAAAAGTGGGGCAATAAACCGGTTTTTACAAAACACCAGCACRTTCCTGTGCATTATTTTGCATGACTTTGCATCTGCACAGAAAGTATTCAGATTTTAACTTCATATGCAAAGAAAGTTTTTAATCCTCACCTTGTGTTTCAGTTGAATTTAAATTTTCATTCAGTGAAGCATAAAAAATGATCCTCCTTCAGAAATTTAAAAAACAAACTATTATGTAATGAAAAAGTCCGATAAAGCTTTTAGTGTGTTTTAAACTGATGAGTATTGCTCCACTTTATGATCCAGTGCACTTCCTCAGAAATGTAACTGCATGTCACACACCTTCAGTGGACTCACAACACTCTGCTTTGTTCACGAATGAATCAAAAAGGTGTAACACTGTGGCTCTGTCATTATGTGTCATTACAGGTTCTCACGTTAAGGTCATTTAGGACATACCAAACTAGGCAAGGTCCATCAAAAGTCACAAGACTTAACTGTCTTTAAATCTTAAACAAGTGTCTTGGTTCAAGAATGAGCTCCTCGGGTTGAAGAACATCTTCTCGAGTCAAAAAAGAAGTCCGGTTGGTGTTGATTCACCTTGATCTGTCCCTTGTCCACCCTGAAGGTTAATCTTGGACAATATCTGATGATCGACTCTTTTAAATGAAACCAGAGAGCGTTGACAGAGAGGAGAAGGACTCAGTCTTTAACTGAAAATATAGATGGAGGACAACAGAGCTGCTTCATGGAAGAAGAACCTCAGCTTAGCCTGTTAGCTTTAGCGCTGACGCTATGTTGTCTTATATGTATTAGCTCAGTGTTAGCACGACAAACTAACACAAGTACACTTCGCTGCAGCATGCAGCTCGGGGCGGTGACAGACCTTTCCGTCGGTCCCATACCTTATATG